GCTCGCCTGCCGCGGGCTCGCCGCAGTCCGAGATCGCGAGCTTCGTTGCCGCCAGCCGTAGGACAGTATTATGTAACCATTTTTAATCTTAATTGTTAATATTATGTAACGAGCAATAACTGTACCCACGGAAACCCGTGACGACGACTCGCGCGAACCTCGCCCGCTCCTTCCTCGCCAGGCGGTGGGCAGCGGGTGTGGGAACCCGCTTGGGAAATGAGCGGATCCGGGCATCCGGGCTACTGCATCGGCTTTTTCTGTGAAAAACATAATGCCAGAGCCTGCCTGGACTTCTCTTAAACCTGGATAGCATGTAGTCCTGTATAAAAGGCTTGGGTAAACACATCTCGTCAACATTGCCTCTTTCTCCATGAAAACCTGCTTTTCCTTGGAAGGTGCCTATCAGACAATTAATGCGAATTGAGCAGTGAAGATGTGGGCATGGGGTTTGTGTTCTTGATGGAGTTCAAAAAATTGTGCATATGAACACGTAGGACGTGCTAGCCCTTGCTCTTCAGAAAAACAATCGGATCACCTGTTCCACACGCCAGTCGCCTCCTTGGTCGGCTGCCATTTGTCTGTTGAATGGCACAGTCCCTGCCAGAGTGCTGGGGGGACCTCGTCTGCGGAGCCGGCACACAGGTGGCTACGAGGGGGGAGGAGACTGCAGTCTAAACCCGCAAAGCTCTCCTTCCTAGCCCAGTGAGGGGAAGCGTGGGTGTCTTTCCTCATTGTTCTTTTTAAGTCTGAAAGGCAGCGACTGTAGGGATTATGACGTGCTGGCGGCCAGGGCCTCGGGTGCTGCCTGGAGTCTCCTGCGTGTCTCTGCTCCTTTGATGTCAGCATCGGGGGTGGGAGCAGGGCCCACGCATTCCCCCTTTGGCCTGGGTGGGAACAGGGGAGGTAGTGGGCAGGGCCAGAAGGGCTTACTGGGATTTTCTTCCTCTCTGTCACTCCAGAGGAAGGAGGTAGAGAACACTTGTTTCAGTTTGAGGTGTTTGGCAGCCACGCGCTGAAGGACGGTTTTTAATTGTAGGGTGGGGTGTGAGTGCCGTGTGGTTCAGTCCCCTCCCCATCTTGTGCTACCTGCCCTTGTACCTGGACCTGTGAATCAGGGATAATAGTTACTATCTTGTAGGATTGAGAATGGTGCATACTAACTGCTGAGGAACACGGTGAATGGAGTTATGGTAATTGCACGATTGGCATGAAGGGGTGAGAGAAGTTCCAGATTGGTCGATTAAAATGTGAGTTATTTTTAGTGTCTCCTAAGGATTTCCATCACCAGTTGCTCCTCCAGCCATCATGTAATTACCACGCCAGAACTGGGCTTCCAAACTTCCCAGAGAACACTGCATCTTTCGAATTTTGGAGGTTAGGCTCCAAAATTTGCATATTTAGGCCAGAGCCTAAATTCACTGACACTTGTGTTCCCACAAAAACCAGACAGCTTCTTGGAGTATTTACTTGTGACTTAGTAAGAACGTCTTAGGAAACTCGCTTGGACTAGAATAGTTTTACCTTTCTTTCAGACTTGGGAGGCTGCATTCTGGTAATTCTCAGGAGGAAGAATGTGTAGGAGAGACCAGGGTTTTTAAGGTGTGACCTCTGAACCACCTACATCAGAGCCAACCGCCTCTCGGTGCTTATCCCTGGGCCTCAGCTCTGAGCTATGAAACTGACTTTCTGGGCTTGGGACCTGAAATTCTTTGTCTTTGTGAAGCATGCCAGGTGATCCTTACAGGCATAAAGTTTGAGAACTGATGTGGTGTTCTGGGCCTTGTAACTGGGGCTTCTGATGATTCACTTAGAAAGTTGGCAGCTCCTGTCTGAGGGGTCAAGGGCAGAATGAGGGGTGGCTTTGAGGCAGTATGAGCCCTGTGGACCCTAGGAGGTCTGGGAGCGCATGTCAAAAGAGGCCTTTATGTGGGCCTTTTGCTTTTGTCAGATTAAACAAGTAAGTTGGCACATCTGGTAGTGGGCACGGCCATGCATCACGTGCAGAACTGGTGTGATGGACCATATTTTCTCATATTTCACAGAATTCACTGGCTGGGCGTGATCCACAGAGTCCTAACCCATCCCAAACCCTGGAACGCTTTCCGTGACGGTTTATTCTGATTTGTTCAGGAAGCATATTTCTCTTCTGTTTTCATGTGGAATGGGCTTTGTTCCTCTCACAGCTGGCGGAGGTTAAATTAAAGGGGCCAGAACATACTGAGCTGTGACTAGGATTGGGGGGCCAGTAGGCGTTTATTGGCTCCATTTGCTTCTTCCTTCCCTTTTTTTCTCTCCCGCCTTGGTCAGTGGGTCCGGGACTATCTCTCCAGGGGCATTTCTGGTCTGTGGAGATTTGCCTGCAGGCACCTGGAAGAGTCTGGGCTGAACTCTAGATGCCTCAGGCTCAAATCTGATACTAGTGAGGGAAGAAAATTCTAAATGTGTAAATGGTAGCTGTAAGTCACCTACAAATAATTTTTTTTCCTTTCCTGTGCTGTGTCTGGGAGCCAGCTTCTGAGTGTTGTCACGGTAGTCCTGGTGGCTTGAGGCTGGTGGTGTACCGTTGCCAACAATGGCCGTGCAATTCCGAGCAGTTGTTCAGCATTCAAGTGGGATGAGAATGGCAAAGGAGTGCTCTGGGTGGCTTTTGACAAGGGACCCCGCCTGTCATTCACTCAACAGGTGTTTGAGGAGCCAGTCTGTCTCCGTCATCTGTTCCTGCCTTGCTTAGATGGAAAATAATGAAATCTGTGTAGGAAGGGAGGGTGAGTAGAGGGATGGCCTGGGTTGACTGAACAATAAAATAGTGATGTTAATATATTTTGCTTATTTATTTTCTTAAAGGGAGCTGGCACATTTCAATTCTGATAGAAGTTAAATATTAACAATGTCTGAAAATACCGCAACTTAAACTTTAATATGCATGGGAATCTCCGGGGGCTGATGAAAAAATGCAGCTTCTAATTTAGTTGGTCTGGGGTGGGACCTGAGGTTTTGGATTTCTGACCAGCTCCCAGGAGTTATGCTTGCAGTTGATCAGTGGCCCACACTTTGTGCAGTAAGGTCTTAATACATTTCCCCCTGTGTTCACTTTAGTGTCTTTTTCTCTAGAAATTCTCTGAAGAGGACACTTTACTTGGTAAGAATTATTATTAATAATACTATTACTTAATCTAAGAATTTTTGTACCAAGAATTTTCTAGTGATTAGCCCTATGTTGTTATAAATGACATGCTTAAATGTGTCCATACTTTATTCCAGGCCAAATATTTGTACAGTGTCCTGCTTTGACATTTGTTTGGATTCCTGTGGATTTTATTTAGTGGTTTCTCTTTTGTTAATGATGATAGAACACTTTTAGAAAGGTTTGAAACCTTTTGAATCTTTAGCGGATTTGAAAACCCCACCTGCTTTCTTTTAAGAAGGCAGGAATTGTATCTGCTTTGAGCTTGTGCATGCTAACACCCCACTTCTTCCAAAGTCCTTGCTCAGTGCCTTCATGTCTCAGCATCACAGCCTGCAACCAGGAAGGCCTCCAAGCCATAGAGAGAAGCAGTAAAGATGTCCCAGTGGGGCTTCTGGCTGAGGCCCTTGCCTGTTTTCTGTCAGCGTGAGCCTGACCCTACCTTGGGAGGGAGGATTGGGTTGTCCCATTATTTCCCTGTCAGGGTAGGTGGTATTAAAGCAGCTTTTGTCTTGCTTGCACTGTGAGTCTGTTCTGTGTATAAGGCTCCAGTGTGTTTCACCTGTGCTTAATGCCACGTTTTGAAAAATTCTACCACTAAAGTTCTTCCTTGGATAGTGAAGACACTTTTGAATGTTTGTCTTTATGCCTACCCTAGTTGGTCAGTAAATGCATTGATGGGCTCCATTGAACTTTGGACCCATTCCTTTGTCATCTTTCATGTCTTCCTAGGCTGATGGTGATGTTGGGCAACTTAATGCTTCCTGAAGGTTATAGATACTACAGGAGCTAATAATGTATTGCCAAATCAGTGAGGAAACTTTGGATTTGATAAAGTTGGTTTCTTTATGGCACAACATTTCAGAAAATTTTGTGTGCCACGATGTATTATGACACTTTAAGAGGAAGATGGCTAGACTATGGTGGTCCCAAATTTTGGGGGGTCGGGGGTGGGGCTAGAACCCCTCTTGTGCCGATTATTTCATTGGGCTAGTTTTTTCTTTCTTTAGTTCTGGGATATATGTGTAGGACGTGCAGGTTTGCTACATAGGTTTACATGTACCGTAGTGGTTTGCTGCATCTATCAACCTGTCATCTAGATTTTAAGCCCCTCAAGCATTAGCTATTTGTCCTGATGCTTTCCCTCCCCTCAGTCCCTCTCCCCTCCCTGACAGGCCCCGGTGTGTGTTATTCCCCTCCCTGTGTCCATGTGTTCTCATTGTTTAGCTCCCACTTATGAGTGAGAACATGCAGTGTTTGGTTTTCTGTTCCTGTGTGAGTTTGCTGAGGACGATGGCTTCCAGCTTCATCCATGTCCCTGCAAAGGACATGATCTCATTCTTTTTTGTGGCTGCATAGTATTCCATGGTGTATATGTGCCACATTTTCTTTATCCAGTCTATCATTGATGGGCATTTGGGTTGGTTCCGTGTCTTTGCTATTGTAAGTAGTGGTGCAATAAACATATGTGTGCATGTATCTTTATGGACTAGTTTTTTCATAGAGTCCTCTCTTTAAAAAAAAAAAAAAAAAAACTTTATTGAGGTATAATTCACATACCATACAATTTACCCATTTAAATTTGAAGTATGTAATTCAATTATAATTAGTATATTTACAGATATGTGCAACTGTATGTGTGTGTGTACACATTGCCGTGGTCTGAATGTATCACTCAAAATTCATGTGTTGAATCCTAATGGCCAATGTGATGGTATAAAGAGGTGGGGCTTTTAGGAAGTGTTTAAGTTGTAAGGGATTAGATAGATCCACATAGATGGGATTAGGGCCCTTTTAAAAGGGCCTGAGGGGGAATGGGTTTGCTCTCTTCTGCTCTTCCACTATATGAGGATACAGCATTTGTTGCCTTCTGGAGGGTGTGGCAACAAGGCACCATCTTGGAAGCAGAGAGACGCCCTCTCCAGATACTAAACCCCAGTGCCTTCATCTTGGACTTCCTCTCCTCCAGAACCATAAGAAATAAATTTCTATTATTTATAAATTACCTAACCTGTGGATTTTGTTATAGCAGCACAGACAGACAGAAATTGGTACTCAGAGTGGGGTGTTGTTATAGCAAATACTTAAAAGAAAAGTGGAATTGGGTAATGGATAGAGGATGGAACAGTTTGGAAGTGTTTGCTAGAAAAAGCCTGGATTTCTGTGAACAGAGCATTAAGAATGATTCTAGTGAGAGCCCAGAAGAAGAGGAGAGTCGTAGAGATAACCTATGTCTTCTTAGAAATTTCTAAGTGGTTGTGATCAGAATGCTGGTAGAATTATAGACAGTAAAGCCCATTCTGATGCAGTCATATATGGAAATGAATATCTTATTGGAAACTGGAGGACAGATAGTCCTTGCTACAAAGGGACAAAGAACTTGGCTGAATTGTGCCTATACTCTAGGGCTTTGGGGAAGGCAGAATTTAAGAGTGATAGGATATTTGGTGGAAGAAATCCCTGAGCATAGTGTTCAGTATGCTGCATGATTTCTCTTAATTGCTTACAGTAAAATGTGAGAGAAATGAATTGAAAATGGAATTTATAACCCAAAGGGAAGTAGAGGCTGGGCACTATGGCTCATGCCTGTAATCCCAGCACTTGGGGAGGCCAGAGTGAGAGGGTTGCTTAAGCTCAGGAGTTCAAGACCAGCCTGAGCAATATAATGAGACCTTATCTCTACTAAAAACAAAAATGTGCACTTAGCCCCAGCTACTCAAGGGGACTGAGGTGGGACGATTGCTTAAGCCTGGGAGGTCAAGGCTACAGTGAGCCATTATTCTGCTGCTGCACTCCAGCCTGGGTGACAGAATGAGACCGTTTCCAAAAAAAAAAAAAGGAAGCAGAATGTAAGGATTTGGAAAATTTTTAGCTTGCTCAGGTTGTAAAAACATGTTTGGGAGAAAACACTAAGGGTGTGGCCAAGTGACCTTTTGATAAGGAGATTAGTATGGATAGAAGGAAGCCAGATGCTATTCATCAAGATAATGGAAGAATGATCCTGAAGGCATTTCAGAGATTATCAGTGCTGCCCCTCCCATCAGAGGCCCAGAGTACCAAGGCCCAGGGAACAGAACTATGTCAAAGGAGAGGCCTTGGGCGCCTGCAGGACCTCAGCATTCACTGCTCAGCGTCACTTCTCTGCTCTCTGCATTACACTGCAGCCCTCCTTGGATATCCCAGCTGTGGATCAAGGGGGCTCAAGTGCAGCTAGTCCCATTGCTCTGGAAGGCACAGGCCATAAGCCTAGGTGGCATCCACATGGTGCTAAGTCTGCAGATGTTCAGAGTGCAAGACCTGTGGATGCATGGCTACCTTCACCTAGATTTGAAAGGATGCCTCAGAAAGTCTTGGGCTCAGACAGAGAATTGCTGCAGGGTAGGTCTGCTGCAGACTCCTTGCTTGGATAATGCCTAATGAAGCCATAAGGGCAGGAGTGCCAAAAAGAGCCCCCACTA